TCTTTCAAGGTGGACCGCCACATAGAGCGTGGGTGCTGTGACCACGTCGAAAGGACTGCCGTAAAGTACGGGCGAAAGTTCGTCAACGCCCAGATTATGGCCAAACACTCATTCTCTGTCACGGATTAATTCAATTCAGTCTTCTTGAGAGTGCGACTTGCATAGGTGACTACGTATTTCACTTGGGTGCCTTCCCGTTGTGCCAAAACTGCACCAAGATTGATTCCGCTTGCATCGGTGTGAATTACTGTGGCAGCAGTGGGGTCGTAGTGACGAAGAATAGGTGGTGAGGTCAGCAGGCGGCCCAGCTGGCGAAATGCGTCGTCACATGCAGGGGACCATGCAGATATACCTTTGCTGTTGGAAAGCAGACTCGCCAGAGGTGCGATGATGGACGTGAAGTTGTGCACGAAGCGACAAAAGTAGGAGCAGAGGCCAATGAAACTTCTTAGGGATTTCAGTGATGTGCGCATTGGGAAGTCAGCGACAGCTCAAAGCTTATTGGGATCCGAAAGAACACCGTCTCTTGTGATGACATGCCGCAAGATGGTTAGTTTTCGTGCTGCGAAGTGGCACTTCTCGGTGTTAAGTTGTAGGACTGCAGAAGTTAGACACGTCAGAATCTCGTGGAGACAAACACGATGTTTCGGGAAATCAACTGAAAAGACTACGATGTCGTCCAGGTAACACAAGCAAGTTTTCCACTTGTAGGCACGCAAGATGGTATCGATCATGCGCTCAAATGTCGCAGGCGCGTTGAACAGCCCAAATAGCATGACTTTGAACTGATATAGGCCGTCCGGCATTACAAAGGCTGTTTTAGGGCAATCAAATTCAGCCATTGGCCCCTGCCAATACCCAGAACGCAGATCCAAGGATGTAAAGTACTCGGCGCATTGTAAACAGTCAAGAGCATCGTCTATTCGAGGTAGCGGTAGACATCTTTCTTCGTAATCTTGTTTAACCGGCGTTAGTCCATGTAAAATCAAACGGTGCCATCTTTTTCTTTACCAGAACCACAGGTGATGACCAAGCGCTTTGAGAAGGCTGTGTGACTCCACGTTTAAGCATGTCATCTACTTGCGCTGTAATGACGCGGCACTTTTCGGTGGAAACGCGGTAAGGACGCTGTCGCAGAGGTGAACGTGAGCCGGTGTCAATAGTATAAGTGATAGTCGTGGTGCGGCCCCAAGCAGGTTCTTGAAAGTCGAAAGAAAGAGCGGAAACTATGTATAAGGAGAGCAACAAGTTGGCTGCGATGCGAGGGGGGGAAGGTCCTGCGTCAATAGCATGTCGAAGGCTGACGAACTTGATGGCTCAGATGCCTGACTGATTGCGGCAATGTGACATGGGGTTTCGTTGGGAATAATATTATCATCGATATGGTCGACAGGTTGTACATATCCTAACATTTCACCCCAAAGTAAGCCGATGGGGTAGTTGCAGTGGTTGGTAACCAGCATTACGGTTAAACCAGACGCAATTCTAAGAATGGCAAATGGGAGAACGATGCCCTTGCGTTAAGTAAAAACCGGAGATGGCGTAAACACCACCGTGGCGACAGGTTGCGCCACACATAAAAGGCTCATAGGAACTGAAACTTCCAAAGGCAAGGTAATGTTGTCGTCAGCGATGAGTTTGCAGAGCAGAGGAGAACGATCGGGCGATGGAAATTCACATGTTGGCACAAGGGACACTTCCCCATGGGAACAATCGATGATAGTTTCATGACCTGATAAAAAATCCCAACCCAGGATAAGGTCATGAGAGCAAGATGATAGAACGAAAAATTGGACAATGTACAAAACGTCTTGGATGACGACGTGCGCCGTACACACAGCCGAGGGATGAATGCGTTGCGCGCTAGCCGTGGACAGCACCATGCCACAGAGAGATGTGGTCACATTCTTCAGTTTTCGACAAAGTTTTGCGATCATCACAGAAACGGCGGCCCCGGTATCAATTAACACTAATGTGGCGACTCCCTCAACATCGACATCAAAAACACTTGGTGGCTAAAATGGAGGCCTTGAGACTTGCCCACAAGTTGCAGTTCTTGCCTCCGGAACTGCACTGATTAGTTTCCCTCCTCAGGAGGTGGTCGACGACGCATAGGTGATGGCGATCGGCAACGAGGGGATGGGAAACGAGCAGTTGATGGGCGTCGATTCGAGTCGGAGTGCCTCTGTTCATATGCAGACGTAGCAGCCTGCTGCGGCGCGTAGGTAGGAGTTCCGAAGTAGGCGTGCGCAGGTGTGAGACGGCGGCGGCAAAAGCGTGCAATGTGGCCAGCGATGCCACACGCGAAGCAGATAGGACGGTTGTCTTCGTTGCGCCACTCATTAGATGGATGGAAAAAGCGAGGTGTGGGCCTGTAAACTGGAGGGGAGGCCGGAGGAGGGGAAGCCGATAGGGAGACTGAATGCGGTGGGGGCTGCGCGACCAGTGCTGCGTAGCTGAGAGGTGAAGGCGGCACAGGGGTGCATAGCCGGCAGTTAAGAGATCAGATGGTACCGAAGTGCATGGGTAGGGGCCAGAACTGTAGGAGGGCATCCGCAAATTTCAGTGCGTATGCCTGCTGCAGTGTCAAACGCAGGCTTGTGGTGGGCGCGTCGCTATGCGACAGCAGAGAGAGCTGTCGGGCGACTTCCTCCCTGAAGTCTTTAATCTGGTTCGACAGAGTTCCTTGGCGATGTTGCCATTTGCGAGTCAACGGCCGAGATCGAATCTAGTGGGGGGACACTCTGTGGGGCGAGTGGAATGCTGACGACGCAATTGATCGAAGCTCTGGAACAGGCTTACAAGGGCTGCCACCGTGGTCGGGCTTTCGCCAGCAACATCTGGATGCGCCCTCCTCGATGCCCTTGAGAATCTGACGAATTTTCTTTTCTTCAGGCATAGATGGGTTCAGCACGCCTGCAGAAGTCGAGCACCATGCTCAATATAACTAGTAAAGATCTCGCCAGGCTGCTGGCTCGGTGGCGTAGATGCTGGTCTCTGTCCAGCTCCCCGGCTGTGCCATGGCTCGGTGCCACTTTTTACCATGCTCGGCGCTTCTGATTGGCCTGACGGTGGGCAACACCTGCATGCAAGAGCAGGTCACCTCGAAGGTGCTTTATCTTGATCATGCTCTCAAGCCTATTTTTCGCCACCTCAACCTTGACCCTTATATTGTCTGTGAGCCTATGTGTGCCCTCCCGTGAGCGACCTTTTCCTTGCGAGTAGTCGATAGCAATTCCCTTCTGCAACTCCTTAATACCCCTCCGGTAGAGGTCAATCGCCAGTTCCTTGAAATGCAGGGGGTCTGCAAGAGTGCCATTCTCCTCATTGTATTTGAATGCTTTCGAGATAAATTCGAAGGTTCTGTTGTGGTAAAGATTCTGTCGGATCAGCATATATGCGTCAGCTCTGCACAACACACTGCCATTGTGTCCGAGCTGCTGGGGCTTCGGCAGACGGCTGTAGTAGCGCTCTCTGTGGTGAATGCGGCGCCTGCCCCAGAAAAGAAACACCAAAACTGTGGGCACACTCACACACAGCCATCGCAGTAACCGGAAGGACCCATGAACACGGAGTAAATTGCGTCTACACCAAGGGCCTCAGCATGCAAGTCAGGGAGTGCATTCTTCAGAGCGGGAACAGTCGTAAGGCGCAATCTTGATCGAAGCAGCTTCTCCATGTTCGCACAATATGCCTCATGCATCAAGAGATATCGTCTGTGTCGCAAGGGTGGAACATATCTCGAGTCAGCGGACATACTGTGCATCTTCGAAGAACCTCCTCGGGAGCTTAAATGCCAACTCCAGCGATTTTTTAACCATGTTAGGATAATGGTGCTTCTACGTTCCTTAGAAACTCTTCCCCCCGTGACCGATAACTGAAATGCTAAAAAAATTCGAGTGTAATCTTTAATTTATCGAAACACCGCAATACCAAAACCAAAACCCAACTTAGTGTGCTTCTATGTGTGACGTAAAAATTTGCCCGATGCTGCCGAAAACCTGCCTGATTGGACATAATGCCCGCCAGATGGCACTACTTGTCCAGGCCTTCCTTGGCGATCGGCCAAAACACTAACCCTGTTATGGTGAATATATGGCGAATCGTGTGTGGCTCACATCGCAGCACCACTTGGCACCTATCGCACGCCCATCAATACGGACAAGGAAATCGCGCGCTGAACCAACGAAGCGCCGACCGAACCCACACAATCTATGGCAGACAAGCAGACGCTGCAGTGGCACATCAGTTTGTCATTTCCGCCAGGCAAAACTCAACATCACACACACAATGTTGCCATTAATTTTGGCAAGCGAGGTGAGCGTTTCGAGGCAAGCTATAAAATTCATTTGAAAAGAATCTGCGAAACCCTCAAGCCAGCAATTTGGCATGAATTGCGCGAATGTGCAAATGAACGTACCCAGTGAATTTTATTGGGATCCACTGACCTCGAAAAATCACCAAAGTTGGCCTTTAAAACTGCACGGGTGTTTTATGGGTCGAAATTGGGAGTCATCAACTGCGCACTGTGCGACGACTGCCCCAGTTGCATGGCTCGTTCGAGCCACTTGAGCGAAGCGGACAAGACCAGAGCCGATGAACAACCAGAGCAACTAAGATAGTGCTTGCTGCCTGAATTCTGGCTGAAATATTGGCTTCATAGCTGTACACATATATTTGTGCAACTAACTACACTGATGCTTACTGTAATATTGCACACACACAGGCACGCAAGAAACATAAATGAAAGCACCAATTTAAATAGCACTACTCACAATGAGGCATCACTGGTAATGCACTGATTCTTCTGATCTGTCACTTCCTAGCACAATCAATACAGTAAATATAAAAGGGCTCGTGTAAAAAAATGTTAATTCTACATCTTGTAATGCAGAGCAGCATGAATGTGACCACCAGATACAACCTCTTAGGATGGTACTCACATGCGCACATGTGATAGAAAAATACCTTAACATAACAATAATAACCAGACACATATATCTCGCTCTTAGTCAAATATTCTTCCACAACCTCTACAGTATCTATTACTATTTACTTCACAGAGGTAAAACTAAACAGGCAGACAAAAACAACTTTCCAGAGAAAATTTGATGTCTGAATGAATTTCTTTTCTTCCTAGACTTCAAATTGCTTTGCAGTCTGTCTGCAAGAAAAAAGAAAGATAGAAAAGTTAAAACTGATGTCATGCTTTTTATGTAAAAACAACGGAACTCACAAAATACTCTTTGAATTCAGACACACAAGTTTCACAAGACTTCCTCTGCCAGCAAAATTTGGCATTTGTTTCTTTGGGAAGCTTTTCTTTACTCTCTGCACAACTACAGCTGTTGAATATTTGGAAAATGTTCACAAAAAAGTGTGCAAGGTGCACTAGAGGTGCAAAACTAGAACCATTGGCGAAGCTAGTGTTCGATCTAGCTTAGGTTAGCTAGTATTACCACACATTTGTTAGAGGTCTCAAGTTTCTGATACTATCTATGACTAGATTTAGCTAGACATGTCACATCACTACCCGTTATGTAATGTTGTGATATTAGTCACATTAGGAGCTGTTACGTTATTTATGGTGGGAACATGTGCCGCGAGTAGCTATTACTCGATGTTGAACAATTTTAGTGACATGACTAAACGTCACATAATTTTTAATCATGTGACTCAAAGTAGCATCATGTTACATGATTTTTATTCACACAAGTAATAACAAGGAGTTGCAAGATTCTGGTAACGTTACCACTTACATGATGTCACGTCATTTTAGTCAGGTTACTTGATATTATGTGATGTTTAGTCACAATGTGATGTGATATGCAATTTTAGTCACATGACGAGTTATTACAATTGGTTATATGATTCTTAAGCATGTGATTACATAGTTACTACGTGATGTTGGAATATTTCAGTTTAGTGACTGGTTACGTGAAGATATGCGATCATGGTCATGTAAGACTCACCAATCACAGTTATTGTATTTCTCGCCCGACAATGCGGAGAATGTGCTGCAAAAGCAAAGCCAAAATTGAAAAGAATGAAGCAAGCGCATATCGGCTCATGACGGTAATAACTCCAGTTCGCATACCTGCAGCAGTGAAAAGCTTAAAAGAGCTCCTCTCTTTATAAAATTGTCAGCCAGGCAGTTATACACAATATGCTTGATATATTCTTTCTAAAGCACTAATATCAAAAATCATGAGCAGAAATCTAGTATCTAGTGTTAAATCTTTTAAATATTTAGGGGTAACCTTAACATCTAGCCTTTCTTGGACTGCCCACATCACCAACATCTGCAGCAATTCCTCACGATAATTAAGCTACTTATGCCGCAATCTACGTAAAATGCCCACAAGTATACGTGCCTTAGCATACCTAACATTTCTTCAGTCTCAGTTTGAATTCGCTTCTGCAGTTTGGTCCCCTCATTACACTTAATTAACTAACATGCTGGAGTAGATCCAGAATAGAGCCACTAGATTAATCTCCCAAAACTATGATCACAGTGTAAGCATAACACAAAATAAAAAAGAACTTATCACTTTTCTTTTTGAGCAGCTGTCATGATATAAACCTCCTTTCATTATTCATAAATACATGCACCAATCAATGCCATCACCTATAACATTGCAAACATCTGCATTCACATCAAAGAGACTGCAAAATCATCTTTCATTCACATGTATCTACGGTAAAACATACATTTTTAAGTCATTTGACCTCCCCCGCGCCATCAGCATGTGGAACAGCCTTCCAGATGACATCATAGCTGAATGGAATCAAAAAAATTCCGGCACCTTCTAATCACTCATCTTTAAGGATTAACTGCTCGGTTTATTCTCATCAAGTCCTGCATTTACACATTTATTGATTGCTAGTTTCTTGGGTTATTTTGTATTCTTCTTTCATTTATTTTTCTTATTTTAAAAATTTTTAGAAAGCTTGATTGCTAACATGCCTTTCAATTCTGTGTGTCATCTTGAGCAATGTTTTCTTTTGAATAATCGAAAGTCGTTTACAAAATGTGTTTACTTTTTTATAGCGTGTTTTACGCCGATATCTCACATGTATAATCTTCTGCTTTTCATTGCCATTGTATTCCTTTTATTATTATTTTCTCTTTTTTTCATCATTGTCGCTGCTAAGCATATAATCATTAACAATTTTGTAATGTTATTCTTTGCATGTAAGTTGTGCAAAGTCATGTTATCTATTCTTTTGATGCTTCCCTTACACGATGCCCTGCTGGGCCTGTAAAGTATATTGAATAAATAAATAAATAAGCTAAAAAATCTGACATACACGTGGAGTTGTGACATCAACAAATGTCTTGCGCTAGGACTGTTCGTAAGAAATAAATGGGGCCGCAATAGACCAATTTCAAGCAATCGCAGAACCCCCGAGAAGCACTTTGTGAAAAGCTTGTACGTCGAACCAACCGAACGTGCCGGTTGTTTTCTCTTCCCTGCTACTCGCTTGTGCCGTGAAAGCACCAAACAAAAAAAATGCATCAGCGTTTGTTGACTTTTTACTTCATCTTAAATACGTGTTTGGATGCACCTGGATGTATCTCTATGCATGAAATGCAAAAGCAATGATGCTTGTTGTGTAAATATTACCAAGCAGATGTATAGGGAATGTAGGAATTAGGCGGCGTGCAGATTATGAGCGTTGATACATGAAGTCAAAACAGTCTATCATGGCCAATATGTGAGCTGGAAGACCACGTTCAGTTTAACAACTACTTGTTCACAAGAAAAACAATTAATTGTCCGTGATTGGGTGCAAGCAAACTACAGATAGGTGTTACAATATATACAGGTAATTATTTGATTTTATTTGACATGTCACATGTCTACAAAAAAGTGAGCTCATTCGAAACCTGTTTTAACAAAAAGAGAAGGAACTAAAATTCATTCGTGCGGCTTTTTGCTCTGATAATTTGCAGTTTCTTGGTACACGTTTTCAAGTTTTACTGCGGGTTCAGTGAAACTTGCCAGGTTTAGGCGGGTTCAGTGAAACTTGCCAGGTTTAGTTTCACATCGGCGCATTCAAATATTATTAAACGAATAAATGTGATGTCATCCCACGCACGGCATCGGAAGAAAATTGTGCACATAAGAGTAGTTTCCAGCTCAAAGAGGCAGCGTATTCTGCGTATCGTACATAGCATAGGCTTTCGAAAATCGGCTCACATGGCCAAGACATACAAACACGGACATCCTTCATTTGTGAATATTGAAGAAGCTAGAAATATTACACTTATTTCAAATATTGTGGGCATTTATTGTACCCATCCTCTCCATCTGTACAATATCACGTGTTGCTCATGCATCCTCATCGATGTCGCATAGCATCATCATCTTGGTTTGTTCATCGTAGCTGTCGGCTGCCGGTGTCTCAGGCCTAATAAAGGTCTTCCAAACCAAGACTTCATACGTGGTGGAGGGCACTGTTAGATCCCCCGTCGTCCTCTTGGCTCCTCTACCCCTGGAGCTACGTTCAGGTCGTCGCTTGGGCCAGGTGTCCAGAAATATTTTGCACCAAGATGAGGTCGGTGCTGCAGGCGTTCCCACTCCGCCACCGCGTTCCCCACCTTCTCACGTGATTAACAGCATCCAGCGTGAGCCCCATCTCTTCGCAGGTATGTGCGGAGAAGATGTGGAGGAATGGCTGGATGATTTCGAACGTGTCGGCGCTGTTAACCGGTGGGATAACACCTACAAACTCGCTCACGTCTCATTCTACCTCACAGGTGTCACGAAGACGTGGTTCTTCAACCACCTCATCGAGATCCCCGACTGGTCAGCCTTCAAATATCAGCTTCGCCATGTCTTTGGCACACCGGCTGTTTGTTCGGCTCTCGCAAAGAAAGCTCTCGCGGTTCCGAAACAGCACATCAGGGAGTCATATACATCCTACATCGAGGATGTTATTTCACTTTGCCACCGGGTTGTCAGATCAATGATAGAGTCAGACAAGGTATGCCGGCTTCTTAAGGGGATTGCACTCATCGCACTCAATGCCCTTACAATTCAGAATCCGGCTATCGTTACTGACGTTGCGATAACCTGTCAGCGCCTCGAAGAACTTGAGTCTATGCACCTACAACTGGACAGTGACGCGGCCCGTATTACGGCGGATCCAAACCTACAGGACACAATAAGGGCGATTATACACGAAGAGTTAAAATCAATGAATTTCACACTACCTTCAGTGTGTCCCATTCAGTCTTCTTCAATGTCATTGCGGGATGTCATCAGGGAGTAGCTCACATCCATGACCCACATTGTCCACCTGCAGCCCACTGTCGCCCGCACTCTCCCATCGTTCTCGCATGCCGCCGCCGCGCCATCAGGCGCCGTCTGCTCGACGTCGCTGCCACGAACGTATGCGTCGGTTGCTGCCGCACCTCCTACAAGCGGAACCCCGAGCTTTCCATCACCACCGCCTGAGCCGTCATCTGTCCCTCTAACTGCTCTTTCTCCCGGTGCAGTTAACACAAGTTACTACCCTCCATATCGATCGACTTGCCCTACGTGCTATTATTGCAGCTATCGTGGTCGCATTTCACGCTTTTGCCGCAAGTGCCAACAAGACGAGTGTCGAGGGTATGACATACGCGAAAGGGACTATATCGAAGGAGCCTTGTACCAGGGCCGCCGTTATTCGTCACCGCCGTGCCAGTCTCCATCTCCGCCAGTGTCGGGTGAACTGCGTAGTAACCCGACGCCGTTCACCGTCGCCCTACCGTCGCTCCTCTTCTCCATTTCAGCCTGCTTCCCTCGCTTCTGAACGTCCTCCGGAAAACTAAGCGATGCAGTTTTTGGAGGACAAACTGCATTCCAACAAAGGACTTGAACTCCTAGAGCACGCCCTTACAATATGATTTCAGTCACAGTTGAAGGAGTACACGTTGATGCTTTGGTGGACACTGGGGCAGTATTTTCTATTATTTGTACTGACTTGTGCACCCGTCTTCGAAAAGTCACGACGCCTTATGATGGACCAACACTGGTTACAGCCCAGGGAACAACGATTCGCCCTTCCACTCTCTGTACTGCCCGTGTGCGAATCGACCACATTCTTCCCCAAATTGAATTTCCTGTGATATCCCCCTGCTCCAACCAACTCATTTTAAGCTGGAACTTCCTT